AGTGCCCAGCCTCAGGAGCAGCCCTCCAAGTTGCCCTTGCTGCCTTGTCCCAGCCACTAGGGGTCCCTGGCAGTAATGCAGGAAGCCCCAAGCGACATTTTAGTCGCAGGCCACCTTCCCTAGAGCCTGAGGCTCTGATGAAATTGCAGGATGGCATGGGCTCTGATAAGATTATATCCAAAAGATGAGAAGTATAAAACAAAAGAGGCCTTTATTCTGAGAACACAGAGAAAACCAAAACCCCCGACCCCTGGAGTCCGGCTTTCTCTCTGGTGGACACTTGGCGTGGTGGGTATGTAAGTAGCCTCGGTTTGGGGTGGAACCTTAAGGGGGCATCAGGGATGCACAGGTAGCCCATTGGTTCTAGTTTGGCACCATAGGTAAATTCCTAGGGGGCGGGGAAGATGGAGTCACAGGTAAATTCATAGGGGTGGGGGAGATAGGAGCTCCTTGGTTCCGCCTCTAAGGCTTCACCGGTTACAGTGTCCTGTCTGGGCAAAAACACTTTCAAGCTCCCCCCTCCAGGGTGACTTGGTGGCTGGGATGGGCCTCAGCTGCGGGAGCCCTCAGGCAGCGGGAGTCCCTCTGTGCCCCAAGGGTCTGTAGCAAGGATGTCCCTAAATCCTTGGCCACAAAGGCCAAGCCCACCCGTGAGTGTGGGCTTGGTGATGTCAACTCCACCTCCAGGGGGAGCAGGAGCCCAGCCACCGGGGGCCTGGGCGATGTCCAGGGCCAGCCAGGTGCTGACCATTGGGCAGGGATCATTGTTGGCTTCCCTCATTCCTCTCTGCTTCCCCTTACAGGGCAGCAGAATCAAGCATCAGGAGTGAGAAGTGAAATGCGGCCACGCTCCACTCTCCCGGAGCCGGCTCTGCACCAGCCCTGGCTCCACAGCAGCAGAGAGACCCGTGAGATGCACACCCCAAAGTTTGTTTAGTAGCAAAGGGTCGGGACCCAGGGCCTCTGCACTGAGCATCACCCCAACCCCTTTTTCTCTTTCATTCTGAGACAGGCTATTACTAAGTGGCTAAATCATCCAGGCTGGGCTCCAACTTGCCATCCTCCTGCCTCAGCCTCTTCGAGGCTAGTTCTACAGTTGTGCACCGCCATACCGAGCTGGGAGAGGATTAAGTGAAAAGAAGCCAGAGGTAAGAGCTATGAAGCTTCACCTCCTGGAAAGGTGGAGTGACTAAGACACCACCGAACGCTGAGGCTGCAGGGAGCACAGGTGGGCAGGCAGAGCCGTGGCCACCCCATGTGCTTCGTCCGGGCCCTCACCCTGCACTGTGTTGGGGCTCACTGTGGTACTACAGGAAGGGCTTCCCACAGCTGCTTTGGTGTACATTCGGCCCACAGGTGTAAAGATGTTAGTAACAGGGCGAGTGGCATGTGGTGCCTGTGCTTGTGATCCTGGCCCTCTAGGAGGCTGAGGCAGGAGGATGCTGTGAGTTCAAGACCAGCCTGGGCTGCACAGTGAGACCAATTCAAAAACAGAAACAAAAACAAAACACACAAATTGGGGTGCCACAAGAATTAGGAGGGGGGGCTGGGGATTTAGCTCAGCAGAATAAGCGCCTGCCTTGCAAGCGCACAATTGTGAGTTTGATCCCTGGGACGGATTAAACAAAACAAAACAAAACAAAAACAAAAAAAGAAATAGGAGGATTAAAATGCATTTTCAAGGCTAGTGCAACTACTGCAGAAAATAGAGTGGAGAATCCTCAAAACACTAGTGTTGTAGCCTGGCATAACTGATGCCATCTTGAGCTCCGCATTTAACTGATGTCCTGTATTCAGGAAAATGGAAAATTACTCAGGATATAAGTCCCATGAGAAAAGTAGAATGAGCTGCACCCACAGGAGAAAAATTACCCTGCTTGGGGGCTGGGGATTTAGCTCAGCGGCATAAGTGCCTGCCTTGCAAGCAGGCAGTCATGAGTTCGATCCCTGGTACCAATAAAAAAGGAAAAAGACAAAAAAAAAAAAAAGATTAAAAAAAAAAAGAAAAATTACCCTGCTCAACAAAAGCAGCAGGATACAGGTGTCAACTGAAAATTAATGAAAGATTTGAGCTAAACTGTTTCCAACAGGATGTCTTTTTTGATTCTGTCTTTTAAAAGCTGTAACTTTCCAGTTTGGGGCCACTTGTTTGAACCCTGAACTGGGGGATCTGAATATGAGTGGTCTTGAACTCAGTTAATTAAATTCCAAATTTGTCAATTTGGCTGCTTGGATTCCTAAGTTGTTGTTCATAAACTCACCTCACTAGGACTATAGGTCCCACTCCACCGAGTTATTTTCCTTCTGGGTGTATTCCCAAAAGAATTAAAAACATCATACCACAGTGACATGTGAGCACCCATGTTTATAGTAGCACAGTTTGTAATAGGCAGATCTTGGAAACAATTGAAATGCCTATTGGCTGAGGAATGGATAAAAAAGATGTGGCATTTTTAAACAATGGAGTACTACTCAGCCACAAAGAAAGATAAACTGGAGACTTTTATAGGTAAATGGATGCAACTTGAGACCATAATCATTAGTGAAATAAATAAGACACACATGTGTAAACATCGTATTCAGTGTAAGAATCTGAAACAACATATGTACATGTATATGTATATAAAAACAGTTAAAATGGTTATACTACTTCTCTGAGTTCACTGAAGAGAAAGATCTGCGCCTGTATTGTTCAGAAAATTGAATGCAGATGTCTTGTGCTCTGGGTGAATGATTTGGGGATGACAATGTACAATGTATGTACCATTGTTGCCCCCTGGTTGATGGGTTTTGAAATTTAGTTTTTTTTCTTCTTTGTTTCTCCTGGAAATAAAGTGGATTTGAAAAATATGAACCTTTCCTCCTTAAAAAAAAAACCCCACTGCATTTTCAGCTCAGTTTTTCTGTAAATACAAAATTTCTAACAGGCGTTTTAAATTAAAAAGCTTTCTTTCCCACCTTTCTCCTCCCCCAGCCCACCCTATCTGCCCTCTGTCTATCTACGATGCACACCCACAGATAAGCAACTTTTATCTCTGTGCAGATAAAAGGACGCTTGTGCAATGAAGAGATTAAAAGACACACGCGCCGGTGCTAGGAGGCTGAGGCAGGGAGTTGCTGCCAGTTCGAGGCCAGCCTGGGCTACACAGTGAGTTCAAGGCCAGACTGAATACATAGGCAAGACCTGGTCTCAAAAAACTGACAAAACAAAAAAATCCCCACAAAAACAAAACAAAACAAAAAACAAACCAGGAAACACGTCAGCCCTGCTTCACTTAGAATTCACACCAACCACCCATCGCTTAGTGTGTGTCTAATTTTTCTCCACACAAACCTTCTAGTTTTGTTTCACATTTTTATTTGCTTCATAATGTAAAGTCCATCTGTACAACAGTTTACAGTTTAAGGAGATCTCTGAGAAATACACAATTTAATCAATAGGTTATGAAATATAGACTTTCTCCACTGCCATTTAGCTTTGCATCATTTCTGTGGAAATGTCTTATTTTGTTTTAGCACATGTATTTTTTTTTAAAAATCGGTACTGGGGATCGAACTCACGACCGCCTGCTTTGCAAGGCAGGTGCTTATGCCTCTGAGCTAAGTCTCCAGCCCAGCACATGTATTTTTGTAGGCTTTCTTTCTTGCTTGTTTCTTGCTCTGTAGCTCAGGCTGGCCTTGAACTCACAGTGATCCTCTTGCCTCGGTCTCCTGAGTGTGGGCCAACACGCTTGGCCTAGGGATTTTATTTTGGTTTTTGAGACAGCTCTCAAAAATAAGTAATTCGGGCTGGCCTTGAGCTGGCTTTGTCGCCCAAGCTGGCTTCCAACTTGTGGGGGTCTTCCTGCCTCAGTCTCCAAGCCCTGGGAAGACAGGGGTGCACCACCACACCCAAGCTACATTTCCCCCAGCCAAGTTTTTAAAGCACCCAAGCGTGGTACTCCCAGCCGTTCCAGAGGAAAGTCATCTGTAAAGGGCGCCAGCGGGGCACCCCTGAAGGGTTCTGGGGTGTGGTTAACCTCCAAGCTCTGGGACTCTCCACCCGCAGGTCAGAGGCTTCTTCATGGGCGCGGGAAAGCAGGGGAAGCCCAGCTTCACCCATCCTGGTCAGCAGTGGCCAGCGGCTCGGATCTCCTGTACCTGGAAGGTTGGGACTCAGCAGGGACAGAGAGCAGAGCGAGCGGCGCTTGCCGTGGACAGGCAGGGCAGTGGGGCAGGCACGGAGGACAGGTGTTTTCACCAGGGTCCGCAGGGAGGCCCGGATCCTCCCCCTGAGGACAGGAACCCCTTCCCAGCCTGCCCAAGTGCGCTGCCCAGACGCGCTGACCTGCGTCTGGGGTGACCGTGAGCGTTGGTGGGCAGGGCCAGGTTCAGGCTCCTGCTGGTGGCCCTGCACCATGGCGCTCCCCGACCGTGAGGGAGGGTCCCAGACCAGGCCTAGTCTCCGCTGTCCCCTCTGGTCCCGTGTCGCCTCCCAGGGTCTCACCACTTGGGGAGGCGGTGAGTCCCTGGGCTGGGGAGCGGGGGAGGGGGGGGTGTGTGAGCGCAGGCCGGGAATCCCAGCACTGGGGAGGTTGAGGCAGGAGGGTCCGCGGCGACTCAGGGATTGGGCAGAGATCTTGTCTCAAAATAGAAGTATAAAAAGGAGAGGGGAGCTGCTCCCCGGTGCCGGGGAAAGACCGAGCGGGGAATTGGGGCGGGGAAGGTGTCCGGGCGGCGGGACTGAGTCTATTTTTTTTTTTTTTTTTTGTCTTTTTCCTTTTTATCGGCACCAGGGATCGAACTCACGACTGCCTGCTTGCAAGGCAGGCGCTCACATGCCGCTGAGCTAAATCCCCGGCCCGGGACTGAGTTTTGAGTCCTCCGCCCCGCAGTCGGGTGGGTGGCCGAGCCGTGGGCGTGGCCGGGAAGTGGCCGAGCCGTGGGAGTGACCGGGAAGCGACAGGGGCGTGGCCTATTCGGGGGCGTGGTCGACCGAGGGGGTAGCCAGGGCGTGGCCCGCGGGCGGCGTAGGATGTGGCCGGGGCGGGCGCCGGGCGGACCGCGCTTCCTAGTCCTGTCCGCGCCGGGTCAACTAGCGACATGCGGCGCCCGGACGCCAAGGTGGTACTGCTGGGCGGCGCGAGCGTGGGGAAGACCTCGCTGCTGCGGCGCTACACTGAGCGGCGCTTCCCCGACTCGGTCAGCACCGTGGGCGGCGCCTTCTACCTGAAGCCCTGGCGCTCGCTGCACCTGTCCCTGTGGGACACCGCGGGTGAGCGGCGGCCTCCTGGGGTTCCCGTCTCTAGCCCTGCGTGCTTTATTTTGGGGTCTGCTCACTGGACCGGGGCCTTCGCACTGAGCGACATCCCTAGTCCGCGTTTTTTTTTTTTTTTTAAACTGTTTATTTGGAGGCAGAGTTCCCTAAATCTCTAAGTTGCCCAGACTGGGCTGAACTCGAAATCCTCCTGCCTCAGCCTCTTGGAGTGCTGGGATCACAGACCTGTGTCACTCTGTCCGCTGCTTCTCCGGTTGCCGAGGAACCCAGGGGCACTCATCTGCCCTTCACAGTGGCCCTCAGCCTGTATGGTGCTGGAAGAGAAGCCTGTTTTTCCAAAAGGTGAAACTGAGGCACGGAGCTGAGCCTCGCGGCAGAGCGGAGCCCTCCCCCCCCCCCCCCCTCGTGGCACTTCAGTGTTTGTGTTCTGCGGTGACTGTAGACCGGCGCACGTGCGGAGCGGCCTGAGTTTGTGGAGGGTTCCGAAGCCAGGTCCTAGGGTTTTAGGGTGTGCTGTTCCTGTGCCCTGTGCCTGTGGGTAACTTAGGGCTGCGCGGTTTGGGTTTTCGGCTGAGCTTTTCTGTGTCTTCAGGCTGGGGATGTGTGCGGGGGTGGGGGTAGGGGAGTGTCTCCTGGGAGGGAATGCGGACTTGAGTGAGTGGAGACACCCAGGGCTGCTACTGCTGTTCTGGGGAGTGTGAGGTCAGTGCCGTGTTGCTTGGAGGTCAAGCCGGTTTCTCGTTGCTGTCCTGGAGCCCTGATCTGCTCAGTGTGTGATATCTGAACAGCACTGTCTTTAAAGCCGAGCTGATGAGGTCCACTGGGTGCCCACAGCTCCCTGCCCCCACGTGTTCTCTTCGGTGGTGTAGTTTTTGTTATCTTGGTCTTGAACATGGGGGCCAACGTGTTTCCAGTGGTTTTTTCCCTTTCTTTTGGAGATAGGATCTCACTATGTAGCCCAGGCTGGCCTTGAACTCGTGGGGTCCTCCTGCCTCAGCCTCCTGCACTGTTGTAGTGCCTCTTTCTGCCTGACTGGGCCTCCCTGCTGCCCTTGGTTCCTGGGGGACTATGCAGGATTGGTGCCAGGGACCCTCAGGGAGACCCTGCAAGGCTACCCCGGGGCTGGAGCTGGCATGTGGTGCTGGAGCCCATCCCCATGTCAGCATGCACGGAGTGACAGTGTGACCGCACCCAGTTGCTTCCCCGGCAGTGTGGGGACGTCACAGCAGGGTTTTGCAACAGCACCTATGCAATGGCCTCCTCCTGGTTGGACACTCGTTTCCTGGCCAGTTTTGTGGCTGCCTTCCGGTTCCTGGAACTGCACAGCCAGGGCCTGGTCCCTCCCACTCTCAGGCCATCCTTGTGGGGGAGGCCTGCTGGGGGCAGCCAAGGTCACCTGCAGGCCGCCTGCCTCCTGGGGACTTGCTTGGGATGACCTGACATTTGGAGAGAAAGGAGACAGGAATAGTACGTTTTCAAGATTCCAGGTTCGGAATTCGGAAGTGACCTGTGATCTTTTTTGTGAGACAGGTCTTCCTCTGGCTGGCCTTGAATTTGAGATGGTCTTTCTGCTTCCGCCCCCTGAGTGCTGAGGTCACCTTCACACCTGGCTAGAAGTGTGGGCTCTCAGAGGCTTAGCTTTTCCTGCTTTGTCTAGTTCTGGAGTGCTGCTCACTGCCCACACATTGCTAAGGTGCTTTCTGTAATTTCCCAGAGCCCAGGAGGCAGCTGAAAGGAGGCACGCTTGGCCAGGAACCAGATTTGCACTGTTCTGGTGGGGCGGGGACTGGACTGGTGGCAGGAAGAACAGGTTGGGGGCAAAGTTTCCGTGCCTGTGTCCAGGGGACAGGGCAGCAGGACTTGGGGCCCAAGACGGACTCCCCACTGCACAGGCACCTTATCTCACTTGGCACTGAGATCTGCCCCCAGGTGGGAGGAGGTGGCTGCACAGACTATGAGACAGCTAGCTCCTCCTGTCCTTGCCCCTCGGGGAGCAGAATCTGCCTCCTGTTGCCTCCGGTCCTGCCCCTTGGGGAGCCAGGGGAGCAGAACAGCTCACTCTCAGCCTGTCCCCGCCTGGCTTCCTGCTTGGCTCTGAGTGTGGGGTCCTGGGTACAGGGGTGTGCACGTTGCATGCAGAGTGGCTATAAGTTTGGGGTGAGCAGACAGATGGTCATGTGCCCGTTTCTCTGAGAGCCCCCGGTAGGGGGGCTTCTCTGGTCTTTAGTCCTGGGGGCCCGAAAAAGAGGGTCCCCAGGCAGTCAGCCCCAGTCCTGTGTGCCAGAAACTTCTTCCTCCATCTTTCTCTCCTGCATTTTGCTATAAACAGCAAGCAGAAGCCGGATCAGTGGTGCATCTGGGAGGCTGAGGCAGAAGGAGCACCATGAATTCGAGGTTAGCTAGGCTACATAAGAGTTGGATTTCAGCTTGGAATACACAGGGAGATCCTGTCTCAAAAACAGAACAAAACAGCCAGGGAAGCTGGGCCGCGCCTCCAGCACTTGCTTAGAAATCTCATCTGTACGTGAAGCTCAGTTGCCAGGGTTTTGCCTCTTCTTGTGGCTGCTGGACAAAGTCCGCCGAGCTTTGGCATGCGTCTCTGTCCTCCGCCCCCGTGCCATGACCCTTTCTGCCTGTAGCTGTGCCCAGTAGCATGTCTAGCCTGCTGTTCCTGCTCTCCCAATCTGTGCCAAGTGCAGATCTCACTGAGGCTGCGGGCACCTGGCCTTGGGGTTGGCCCATCGCCCTACCCTGGGCCTGGCCTCTGCCTGCTGCCCAGGCCATGGAGGGCACTCTTCCTGCAACACAGGCAAGGAGCACATACCTGGGGTCCTAGCACTCAGGAGGCTGAGGCAGGAGGAGTGCTGTGAATTCAGGGTCAGCCTGGGCTACACAGTGAGTTTAAGGCCGGCCTGACCTATGGAGCGGGACGCTGTCTCAAACACAGGTGAACAAAAAAGTACAAACTGGAGGCTGCAGGCAGTATGGAAGTGGGCTGGGGTGGGGTGGAGTGAAAGCTGCGTTTTCTTGGGGCCGGCTGCGTCTTGCAGCCACAGTGCCCGGACACTGTGATTCCCACACTCACAGCTGGCCCAGTACCAAGCCCCACGCCGAGTGCCAGCTGGTCCTCCTGGAGGTACTGGCAGCACTGTCCCCAAGGCCCAGAAAGGTCCCCGTAAGGGGATGCAGCTGTCCCCAAGTTCTTGGTGACAATTGCCAGGGAGCCCAGGCTGGAGCAGGGAGCCCCTGCTGTCTGACCCAGGTTTCCTAGCAGCCTCTTGGCCTGAGTCTGTGTGGGTGTGGGGGCTGAGATGCGGAACTGAGAGCTGAAGTCCTTTCTCTTGCTGAGCAGCTTCGGTGGCACCAAGGAGGTGATGCTGCAGTTTCATTTGTGAAATTGGTGGTGAAACCCTTGTGCTGGGAGTGGGAACGGAAAAGCTGTGTCACTTGGCACCCCTTGACCCCTTTCCTCCTGGGCTGGACCGCTGAGGGCCGGGGCCAGGGAGGACAGATGTGTCCCAGGACATGGGTGAGGGAATGGACAGGGACATGGCGGGTGGTACAGGTACAGGTGGAGATGGTGCAGTGCTGTGGACGGGGCACTTACTATGCGAACTCACTGCGTAGCTCAGGCTGGCCTCAGCTGGGATGCTCCTGCCTCAGCCTCTGGAATGCTGGGGTTACAGGAATGCACTGCCACGCCTGACTAGGAGCTTTGGAGTCTTTTCACGGTGAAACCTGGCCTGGTAGTTGTATCATTAAGAGGACGCCGCCTGGGAGGTGATGTCTTGCTCTGTGGTCTGGCATGGGTGCACATTTGCCTCCAGTTGTCAATAAAGCTTTGTCAGTGCAAGGCCACATCATGCACTGTGTCACTGGTTGCAGCCCATAGCCCCGGCAGAGGTTTGCTGACTCCTGGTCAGGCCACGTGGCGGAGAGAAATGCTTTTTCATAGGTATAGGAGCTTGCAGAAGCCTTGTCCAGCAGTGACAAGGCTCAATTTCTGGCTCCATACGCAGTCTTTGGTCTCTGCTTCATGGGGCAGGTCCTGAGGAGGGAACAGGGCCAGGGGCAGTGGTGACTTCAGGTGCAGGGTGCCATGTGCCCACCCTGTGTTGAAAGTGTGGTATGGGTGGGCAGGTGCGTCTAGGAGAAACTGGTCGCCCAGGGCGAGTGGTGTCTGGGCAGCTCTTTCCTGAACTTCCCTGGGGGCAGAAACCTGCAACTCAGGGAATCCGTTCCAGCTTGCAGCAAAATTTTTTTTTTTGGTACCGGGTATTGAACTCACAACATCTTGCTTGCCAGCAAGGTGCTTACACTGCTGAGCTAAACCCCTGGCCCTCACAGTGGAATTTTAACCCAGGGTTCTTTTCTCGAGGTGGGGGTCAGGCTCTCGCTATGCCTGGAACTCACTGAGGAGCCGGGGCTGGCCTGGAACTGGTGGCGATTGCCCGCCTCAGTCTCCAGTGTGGGCCAGAAGTCTCCAGTCTCATGCCAGAAGATGGGACAGAGCTCTTTCCCCTGCTGTCCCTGTTGTTGCAGCTGTGAACCCTGGATGGTAGATGCAGGACAGATCACGGCAGACCCTCCGTGCTGGAGAGCAGGCGGGTGGTGCGGCTGAGACCTGGAGACGCTGATTGGAGGCGTGGGACAGGGTCCTGCTGTGCCCGGTGGGCTGCGGGGTTTCAGGTCCTCGTTGCCATGGCCCTTTCTGCGTGCTGAGCTAGCATGGCAGGCTCGCTCCTTGGTGCCCTCTATGTGGATGTGGTCGCCATTTTCTGTCCACTGTCGTTCAGGGAGGCCATTGTCGGTGGAGTGTGGTCCCAGGCACTGCATGGGGCGATGACCCAGCGGGGATGTGGGGTGGCAGAGAGCTGGCCCCAGTTGTCCAGCTTGTGACCTGAATATACTCGTGAGGGGCATTTCCAGCCGTGCTTCTACGCCCTCCATCAGGAGAGGGTCGGGGTCGGCGCCCGGCTTTCTGATCCCTGTTGCCA